ATCTCTCTCTCTCTCCTCCCCCGAGAGGACAACAAGAATATATATGTATAGATATATATATATATAAATATATATATATGACGATAGATGTGGTGGATGACTAGATATGCAAGAAGAGCAGTGACTAGTGTGAGGGCAGGCCCGTAACAGTCGACCCCCCTGACTTGAACTGTGTGTCTGCACACGACCACTGTAACAAATCACGAGAGAAAAAAAAACGAAGAAAACGAGAAAAGACATGAGACATAAACAAAAAAAAATAACGAAAAGTTATAACGATNTGTAACAAATCACGAGAGAAAAAAAAACGAAGAAAACGAGAAAAGACATGAGACAGAAACAAAAAAAAATAACGAAAAGTTATAACGATAACATCATCAATAGTATCACAAGGATGATATTAAAATCAATGAGCAAAGAAAAACAAAAGAAAACAAAGAAAAATAAAGGAAAACAAACAAACATTTGTTTGTATACGTACTAAATTTGCTAATGATGGCGATGATGGTGATGACGACGTTGACGTTTCTTTTCGAGACGTTCATAGTGTTCTTTAGTGAACATGTCCTGCTGTAATTGTTGATCGACACGTTGACGAATGGTGTCGTTTTTTAAGCCCAAAAATAATGTGTTGCCAACAATATTAACGTTCACCCAATAAATGTTCATGTCGGTTAATATTTGTTTAACATTCGTTATTGTAAATTTTGAGTATATTTGGCGGATAATTTCGAATTTATATCGATTTGCACGTTTCTTTAAATTGTTACGTTGTGTTTTTGTTAATTTTGAACGAGATGATATGCCATGAGTTGTTGTACTTAATGGTAAATTATGTGTCGATGTTGTTGGTCTGATTTCTTCTTGCGGCGATACTGAATGTTGGATTAAACGTTGTGGTTCATTATTGGGAACATCTTCTGATTCATCGTCGGAAATGTCTTCTAGTTCGTCTAGAATATTATTGTGTTGTTCATGAACCGGGGATAATATGTCGACCTTCGGTTCATCTATTTCCATGATGTTGTCGACAGTATGCCGTTCATGTAATACATGAACTACAACTGTATCATTATGATCATTTGATAATGGTTCAGGTTGTTGTGATGTTTCCATCTGTTCATGATCTAAAGTAGTTAGATTACGATTTTCTAATATTACTTTGGATGATTTGCATGATTCCATCGTTTGGTATAGCTTCGCAACGGCTAAACAATCATTAGAGGCGTAAGTCGTCATTAATGTACGTATTTCTTCTTCATCTTGAATAATTCTGGATTGTTGGTCGTGCATATTGTTCGATGATAAATAAGTTTTCAATGACCAATCAATACCGCAGCCCCAATTAGCCAATGTCAAGCGTTTATCGAGCCATTCATTAAATGCCAAATAAATTGCTGCTTGTAATGAGTATATATCATTTGGTTCATCTTTACAATGAGTTGATGTTGGATAGGTGCAATTAAACCAAGCTTTAAAATCAGCTTGAATATTTTTCGGGACCATACGTTGAATATCATCATTGTCGAAAAGATTAAACCGGGTAAATTTGCTTAATTCGACTTTTGGATCACCCCAAAAACTAACGATGTTATTTGATGATAATATTGTTTGACATAATTGTTTAATTTTATCAAATTTTGAAGAGCGTTCAGGTGGCAGATGATGTGTTTCGATGAGGATGATTATTGATGGATCCTTTTCGTGAACAAATTGTATTTGTATTAAAGCAGGTTCAGATGGTGTAGGTGGTTGTTGTAATTGATCTTCCGTATCGATTGAATAAGTTTGAATGCAATAAGCGTAATCGATTAGATCATTGAGAACACCGATTGATGTTTCACGATTGATATAAAATTGTGTAAATAACGATGATGATAATTCGAATTTACTACATTCACCATTTTCATACAATGCTTTATATTTGTTATTTTGTTCGACCTTTTTCTTCACATATCTATTATTAAGTTTGTCGAGTTTTTTCAAGTGGCGATGTATAACGATGATGATGTTGATAATTACGTGTTTCATTCGAGTGTGATTTATTATTTGATGATAATGTTTGTTGACGATTTGATGTTGATGAATAATTTTTCTGTCAATGGAATTGAGACATCTAGAAAATAATAAACAAATAAAGTACACGTGTCCAGAATTCCGTTTCAGAAATTCTTTTCCAATTCATCATCTAACATTGTAAATAACCAGGTAAAAACACGTGGTGTTTTCCTGTTCCATTGACAAATGTGTAATGTCGTATTGTACATGAAGAGCAGAGGAAGAAAAAAAATTCCATTGTCAATTGATCATGTTAGGCCATTGTGTTATACTATAAAATATGTAATTATGGTATCGAATGAATTTGTATTTCCCAGTCGTGCTATCATAATTATTATAACATTCAATGAAGTTGTCCATGAAGTAATCCATTAATTAAGTTAAGTTCTGGTTTAATTCGGGTTATATGTTCAGCTTTATGTAATGGTTGAAATTGTTGTTTCCTTTCTGTAAGATATGTAAACAAGTATATATATGTATTAGTAATATATGGATTTTCCATTTTCCACCTTTCGTTCTTCGGATTCATTTTAATTTTATTTAAATATAACGGCGTTGTGTTATCGACACCATGACGTCGCTAGTTACTTGTCTTATCAGTGTCGAGATTTTCACATGTTGTACAATAAATGCTTTTGTGCTAAATTTTTGTATTATACGGAATGGTCCTTCATATCGCCAGTCGAACTTGTTGCGCATTGTTAATATTTTAATTAGGACAAGGTCACCGATCTTGTGATTTGGATTTGTACGATGTCGATCATAACGTTCTTTATAATGTCCTTGCTGTTTCAGTATTTTGGTTTTTGCTTGTTCGGTTAATGTTGATACATATTGATTTAATTTTTCCTTGTGTTCTGGATCTTGTGAAAGGGTAACTAATGGCTGTTGTTGATCAATAGGAAGAATTGGCGAACGGCCATATATTAATTCAAATGGAATTTGTCCGGTTGTCGTATGTATACTGGTGTTGTAATTGAATGTAACAAATGGTAATTGCTCATCCCAATCTGTATGCTTGTCATTGGATAATGCTGCTATATTTGCATCCATTGTTGCATTAAATCTTTCAATTTGTCCATTAGTCATCGGGTGATAAGGTGTTGAATATAAATGTGTAATCCCTATTTTCTTGAATAATTCAGTCATCATTGCAGCCGTAAAGTGTGTACCATTGTCTGTGAGAATGCATTTAGGAGTACCATATTTAAGGATCACTTCTTCAGTGAGAAAACGTGCTGCAGTTGATGCAGTACAATCACGTACTGCTTTTGCAATTACGAATTTGGATAATACATCTGTTAATGAAATAATATATTTATTTCCATGCTTTATTGTTGGTGTAATTGGTCCATGAAAATCCATTGTAAGTAACTGCCATATACCTTCAGGTGGTTTTATTGGTTTGAGAGCACCTGGCGGTTTTTGTCGTAAAGGATTATTTTGTAAACATGGTAGACATGATTTCACATAATGACGAATATCCGAAATCATATTTGGTCAAAAATATCGTTGTTGAATTTTCTGAATGGTTTTATTCCGACCGAAATGGGCACCATTTGCAGGTGTATCATGATACATTTTGATTATATTGGAACGTATTCGTCCTTTAGGTATAACGGGAACTGGTGGACATGCTTCTTTCATTAACATATAATCTTCAATAAAATATTCTTTATAATTCTGTATGTTGCCAATTATGTTGTTAATTTCTTCATCTTGATGTTGTAATTCTTTTAATTGTTCTATTGTAAATGGAAGCATTGCATGTGAGTCATTGGGTTGTGTAGAAACACAGGACTTATCGACTAATCCGTCGACATTCCTTTTATGTCCTTGTTCATAACAGGCCTGATCTGTCAAACGACAAGCAGTCCTTTCATCAAGTTGTTGTTTTGCTTGTCTACGAGTAATAACAGGTGCAATGATTTGTGTCCTCATATAATTATCAGTTTGTGTTGCTATGGATTTTGTTGGTGTATAATCATCTCCATCATTCATTCCATTATCGACTGGTGATCTGGATAAATAGTCAGCTACTGTATTATGTTTTCCTTTAATGTATCGAACGGTAAATTGATATTGTTGTAATTTTAATCGCCATCGTTCACATTTCGAATTTAATTGTTGTTTTAAGTTGAATGGTAATAATGGTTTATGATCTGTTTCAATGATGAATGATCGTCCATCTAAGTACTTGTGCCACTTTTCAATTGCATATATAATAGCATAACATTCTTGTTCTGTTGCAGGCCAATTCATTTGCGTTTGTGTAAATTTCTTTGATAAGTAAGCGACTGGTA